TATATAAAGTCTGTATAAGATGTGTGGTTGTTGTCAGGAGTACATGTACACTAAAGACTGTATGCTGTACTGTAATGTGGGTTTTTTAGTACATGTAAACTAAAGTCTGTATAAGATGAGTGGTTGTTGTCAATATTACATGTACACTAAAGTCTGAATAAGCTGTTAGGTTGTTGTAAGTACATGTACACTATATATAAAGTCTGTATAAGAAGTGTGGTTGTTGTCAGTGCATGTATACTAAAGTATGTATAAGATGTGTGGTTGTTGTCAATAGTACATGTACACTAAAGTCTGTATAAGATGTGTGGTTGTTATCAGTACAGGTACACTTAAGTCTGTATAAGATGTGTGGTTGTTGTCAGTAGTACATGTACACTAAAGTCTGTATGCTGTACTGTAATGTGGGTTTTTTAGTTCATGTAAACTGAAATCAATAAGATAAAGATGTATTAATATGTTACTGAAAGAGCTGTTTATTAGTGTCTTCTCTTCAATGAAAGGGAGACATATTGTACTGGTTCATCTCATGACTCCCTTTCTGGGCATCACTTTTACACTCAGTTTGTTAGCAATGATGAAACATGAAATGCAGCCTCACTCTGGGGTGTATAGTGAACTGTATTTAGATCACGGTGGTCTTCAAAATGGTACAAAAGTTTCAGTTAAATGTGTCTGGGCTGTACATTTTAAAACTTGAAGATGTTTTGATGAAAGTATAGCTGCATCATATACAGAAAGAGAGGAGAGCCCTTTATTTAGGTCACTGTTATAGCTACCTTCACTTCTAAGACGAAGGTCAAATAAGTGCAGAGCAAATATCATATTGGCTAAAATAATGATGACATGTTTCTTTTCACAATAACAAATCTGTAGTTTTGTTACTAACTTTTAAATGAATATTTTTATGAATAAGTTTTTTCAATAAATTCAAGAATATTACCACAACATCTAGATAGTAAGTCGAGATCATTTGTTATATGTATCAAAGCATTTTTACAGTAGATATCTTAGGAGTTTTATTACTTTTTTATCTGTTCGGGGTTTTATATATTTTTTCATCACTAAAACATTTCTTAATTTTCTGTATATTTGTACAGCTAAAGTGAATGAAATCATGTACATGCAGAAGAAGGCAGAAGAAAGGAAAGCAAAGATAGCTGATGGGACTCTGGTAAAGAAGAAGAAAAAGAAGGGAAAGAAAAGACCAACGTCATCACTGAAGAGAAGCAAGAGTTTTAGTTAGATAAACAGTGATGTTGTCAAGTGTTTAAATATATATATGTGTAGCTGGTGGTTTAGTTTCGTCATGTTCATGATAACACAAAATCAAAGAATCAAAACATCATCTATAGATCAGCAGTAAAACTAGGTAAATAATCCCATCTATCAAATTCTACTTTCAACAGTTAAAAGATACATTGATAATTTAACTTAAACAATGTTCTTTATTTGCTCCTAGATGACATTTTAAGAAAACTTTTACATAGATAAATTAATTGACCCTTAACAGACGTTTTCTTCCATCCATCCAGTCACATGACAAGAAAATTACAAATGATAGCAGGCGTGAAGACTCACAGAATAGTTTAATGCTGCTTATATATTAAGGAATGCTGAGAACAAATAATGTTTTTGAAGAGAGGAAGATCATATGAAAATTTGTGTATTTTCAGAATGGTAGTGTAGAATGAACCAATCAGTGATTTTATCAAAAGGAAATACCTTTACTTTGTAATTCAAATCATGTTCAGTATATTTTTGAAATTCTAGAACTGCGGAGGTATTTGTAGAAGTTATTGTTTATATATGGACTGCCTGCTACATGAGTGTGGAGTGTGATTGTATTAAGAAAGCTATGTGGTTTGTGATTGTATCATACAAGGGGCAGCTTTCATTACCTTAGTGACTTTGCGTCACATATACCAGAAATAACTGGCTTGTTGAATACAATTACTTTACTTGTAAAAATGAAATGCAAATCATTGCTCTACCAGTTATCAAACATGTCTGCCCTATCTGTAACACTGCTGACGACCTTTATGCCTGTATAATGTATAAGTATTGATCAAGTTGTTTATATTAAATGGTCTGTGATTTGCCTTCCAATGATCTGTGATATTTATAGATACTAAAACAATTAATTTCATAAATTATATGTTAGCCATAACTATTCAAAATACAAACTACTTTTACATATGATGCTGTGTGTAGCTTGATACTGTGCATAATGTGCTTTGTGTGTTATGTGCTTTGTGTGTATTGTGATTTGTGTGTATTGTGATACTGTGTGTTAAGTGATGGTAAGACATTGTGTTCTAATTACTACTTGGGTGTGGTCCTGTGTCAACACTTTATAATACAGTATACTGGAGAGGGGTGTGGTCCAGTGTCAACACTTTTTAATAAAGTATACTGGAGAGGGATGTGGTCCAGTGTCAACAATTTAAAGTAAATCATACTAGAGAGGGGTGTGGTCCTCTGTCAACCCTCTATATTAAAGTATACTGGAGAGGGATGTGGTCCTGTGTCAACCCTCTATAATAAAGTATACTGGTCAAATGTCACATTTAACAAAGTATACTGGAGATGGTTGTGGTCAAATGTCGCACTTAACAAAGTATACTGGAGATGGTTGTGGTCAAATGTCACACTTAACAAAGTATACTGGAGATGGTTGTGGTCAAATGTCAACACTTTACAATATATACTGGAGATGGGTGTGGTCAAGTGTCAACACTTAACAAAGTATACTGGAGATGGTTGTGGTCAAATGTCAACACTTTACAAAGTATACTGGAGATGGTTGTGGTTCTGTGTCAACACTTAACAAAGTATACTGGTGATTGGTGTGGTCAAATGTCAACACTGAACAAAGTATACTGGAGATGGTTGTGGTTCTGTGTCAACACTTAACAAAGTATACTGGAGATGGTTGTGGTTCTGTGTCAACACTTTACAAAGTGTACATGTAAAGCAATGAAATTATGTGTGATGTTATAAAATGGGTTAAGATAATCAAACTAATGTAAATCAGGGACGTATAGTGAAGTACTGTCCCTGTGTAAATACAACAATTTTTATTGAAGTGCTTTTATTAGATTTGTGCCAAGGAGCACCAAGTATTGTTGTTTGTGGTCAGTTTATACATGTGTAGTAATTGGTGTTAACCCAGTATTATATGTCTGTTGTCGTGCAGTTTATACTGCTGTAAGATTAGTGAGAAAATGGTATAAAAAAGTTTACTTTAAATGTCCGTATCAAATATGCTGGATTTTTAAATTGTCACAGAATAATAAGATGTCTCTGACATACCAATGTAACAATCTATTTATATATAATGGTTTTTTAAAGATATTTGTACATAATAATGTGGAAAACACGTCCACTCAGCATACCAGGTAGACACACCTGTAACAGGTGTCAGACAGAAATATTGGGTAGAGACACCTGTAACAGGTGTCAGAAATGTTGGGTAGACACACCTGTAACAGGTGTCAGAAATATTGGGTAGACACACCTGTAACAGGTGTCAGAAATATTGGGTAGACACACCTGTAACAGGTGTCAGAAATGTTGGGTAGACACACCTGTAACAGGTGTCAGAAATATTGGGTAGACACACCTGTAACAGGTGTCAGAAATGTTGGGTAGACACACCTGTAACAGGTGTCAGAAATATTGGGTAGACACACCTGTAACAGGTGTCAGAAATGTTGGGTAGACACACCTGTAACAGGTGTCAGAAATATTGGGTAGACACACCTGTAACAGGTGTCAGAAATGTTGGGTAGACACACCTGTAACAGGTGTCAGAAATATTGGGTAGACACACCTGTAACAGGTGTCAGAAATGTTGGGTAGACACACCTGTAACAGGTGTCAGAAATATTGGGTAGACACACCTGTAACAGGTGTCAGAAATGTTGGGTAGACACACCTGTAACAGGTGTCAGAAATATTGGGTAGACACACCTGTAACAGGTGTCAGAAATGTTGGGTAGACACACCTGTAACAGGTGTCAGAAATATTGGGTAGACACACCTGTAACAGGTGTCAGAAATGTTGGGTAGACACACCTGTAACAGGTGTCAGAAATATTGGGTAGACACACCTGTAACAGGTGTCAGAAATGTTGGGTAGACACACCTGTAACAGGTGTCAGAAATATTGGGTAGACACACCTGTAACAGGTGTCAGAAATGTTGGGTAGACACACCTGTAACAGGTGTCAGAAATATTGGGTAGACACACCTGTAACAGGTGTCAGAAATGTTGGGTAGACACACCTGTAACAGGTGTCAGAAATATTGGGTAGACACACCTGTAACAGGTGTCAGAAATGTTGGGTAGACACACCTGTAACAGGTGTCAGAAATATTGGGTAGACACACCTGTAACAGGTGTCAGAAATGTTGGGTAGACACACCTGTAACAGGTGTCAGAAATGTTGGGTAGACACACCTGTAACAGGTGTCAGAAATATTGGGTAGACACACCTGTAGCAGGTGTCGGACAGAAATATTGTAAATTTAGGGTTTGGTGCTTTGTTTGTATTGCTTTCATGTTGTTTTCATCATTTGTCAATATTTTATATAATCAGGGAAAAACTACTTTGCCTATTTATAGAATATATGTATACATAGTATTATGCTTTAGATTTCTTCCATGTGCTATCCAATACAATGTTTTAATAGGATAATATGGTATTTAGAAAAAATATTTGTTGAGAAATAAAAACTTTATTGCAACTTTGTTAAGAGTATATTAGATCATTGTTTTTTGTTGATTTATAGTTAAATTATAGTGTCGAGTACGTTTGTGACTTGTTAGTGTAAAATGTCTAATCTCAAAGTATAAAACTGCCAACCAGTTAGTTACCTATTCATCAGAATGATATACATCTGCCTAGAGATACATACAGTCCGACCTACAGTCATACATTGTAATGTGAAGTACTGTAGGACCGTAAAATAATACTGGATATTTGAGGAATCTAAAGTTGTGATAACAAAGACTAACTTCAGTTAAGATATATGGAGTAAGGGCCCAGAACCCATCATACTTTGTGGGGGTTTTCTGGAGTTATTTGGAGCTCTAGATAAATCCATAAGGATAAATAACCTGTGAAATGAATTATTGCTTAAAGTGACATTGGCTGATTTTAGATGGGGATGATTAACTATGTTTCAAATGTTTATCAGAATCCACATTTTCAGTAACAGTTTCTTGATTACGTTAAACATTTCTTTTGCATAACTGTATCTAAATGAATGCATTCTGCTGATTTACAAAGTCCCTTAAAGACTTTTGACCTGCAGTATCTCTTTCCTGTTACAGATTTGTCAGTATTAAAGATTGAAATATTGTTCTATTGAATAGATACATTGTATATTGGATGAAATGTGTTACGTTTCTTGTTGTAGATGGAGACCATTTTTTGTTTAGATCTGATTATAGTAATGTGTACCTGTAGTTCTAAACTACAACAGCTTCTAAATATTTTTGGATGGTATTTGAATAGCTTATTTTTATTTACATGATATTAAATATAAAATAAAGTATTCAATATACAGTATTTGTTTGATATTTGTTGATGGAAGCAAAAACAGATCAATTTTGTCACAAAGAGTTAAAAAAGGATCTTAGTATTTTAACTCACCTTGATCTGGTGTTTTGAGATGAATAAGTTCTAGTACATAAAGTGTTATGACAGGTACGTAATAAAGTGTCATAGATACAGCAGGTATATTCTTTCCCTAAACCTGCACAGGTACAGAAAATGGTTATAACCCAATGTCACGACTAACTACTCAATTTGCTCAGACTTGACTCCAGCAGCAGTCCTGGTCCCGTGTTTGTGTCGTCATGAACAGCAACTGATTGTAAATCACACTATATATGGTTATAATAGTAATAATAATAATAATAATATACAACATTTGGTATAGCGCCCTATCTAGCTAACATAAGCCACTCTAAAGCGCTTTACAGTACATAGATTAAGATATACAATTAATACAATTAGGATATACAATTTTGAGGAATTCGCAGGAGCTGCCTAACAGGCGCAAACTACTAGTCCTATGTCACCTGGCTAATATCTCCCTATGTGTGTAGGCCTGCGTGTGTGCTGGAGATGTATTTTGTTCTGTTTGTAGTGGGACCGTGCTTCCAATGGCATATTTTCTAGTGCCACCTCACTTGAATGCTACATCACAGATACCGCAACATCCACCCCAGACCATTTTATACTCCACCTGGGTTGTTGGAGTTGTGTGGGGAGGACAAAAACACTTTCTCTGATATTCCATGCTTGCGACGACTTCGGGGATCGAACCCCGGCCGCCTGCGCGGAAGGCCGAAGTGTTAACCACTCGACCAATCCGCCCGTTATAGGATGAGAATCTTGTGTTTTGGCCCAAGGACCAAGTCCGCAGGGAGGGGGCCTGACACCAAAGCATGCAATCCTTGGAGTATAGATGTTGGCCCACTATATAATGATAACATTTAATAAGTACAGCATTTAACTTAGAATTCTTATTTTGGGGCCCCACCTTTGGAGCAACCATAGAAATTGCAAAAACATCATTTATACCATGTTGAGCACTCCTTAGCCCTAAATGGTGCTCCTGATCAAATCAGCAGTATTTTAAAGATTAGCCTCTGTTTACCCAATGTGCACTGTCCAAACTTGGGGCAACACTGTTAAGTTTTACAATATTAATTGAGTTCCCTTGACTCTGAAAATTCAGACAAAATTTGGTTCAAATATTCCTTGACCTCATTTCTCCTACTGGGTCCAGACCCTCTTCTACTGGGTCCAGACCCTCTTCTACAAGGTGTGACAAATTCTCTGGCTATACCAAATTTAGTCCCTTTGTGCCATTGTGCACTGAATTTTGCTTCAGATAAGCATGTATGAGTGCTTAAATATGTAGAAGTTCCAGGCTTCAAGATTTACCCCTCTATTCTCCCCCTTTGAGACTCACGCCTCAGCTCCCAATGGGCCACAAGTTTTGTTTAAACAAAACCGACATTCTATGCATTGAGGCTGGTCAGCGCTTCCACATGTATCGTCTAGTTATCAGTTTCCGCACGTTATGTATTTCCGCGCAGCCATCTTATCAAGCTTTGTCATACTGCAAAGAAAAATGTTGCACGTTGATTGGTTGAATTGCCAAGGTACCTGAAGCTATGTTAGTATCCTTGCCGGGGTACATAAGAGCATGCGCGCCTGTTGTAAGGGAGATAACTCGAAGATTCGAATCGAACACACCGGAGAGCGTTCGTCTGCTAATGTCAACAATCAACAATATGGCGAAACGGTTTTTCAAAAATCAATCGTTACGAGTTGTTAAGGAACTGAGTTGTTATTTAATGTTGTTTCAAAACCATATTGTTGACTTATAATTTAAAAATTTATTAAATTGTTGGAATTATACAAAAATTGTTTTTTCTGTTTTCCCGTACTACCGCCCTACACAGTATCTGTTTCCTGGCAAACACGAGTCCCAACCTATAAATGGCTTTGCAGTATGACAAATTCGTTATACAGGTCTTTGGCAGGGTACATGGTCTCATGTTTGCTGTCAGGACCTTATGTACCCTGAGCCGAACGTCTAAAATATCCTTCGGTACAGTTTTTTTTCCAAAACCGATATAAGAGTTAGACTGCAGAAAGAAAAGAAAAAATATAACTAAATAAATATAATAAATAAATTTATAAAATTACATGAATTCGTTCAATTCGACATCTTAAAAAATCAATTAAAAATGTGAAATTAAAAAAAAAATGTTTTGATAATTAATTTGACGATCAAAGATATTTTTTTTATTCCAAACGAATCTTTTGTTCTTGCAGATCACTGAAGAGTATTTCTTTTTAGTGTATTCGAGTTATCTTTGAACACTAAATCAAAATAGACACACGGAAACATATGACGGCTACTTCCGACGGGAGAAATTTATTAAAATTTGTTTGTTCTGAGGGTTTTTTAAATACAGTTTTATGTTGCTAGTTTTTGTTTCCATTAGTAGATTGTATATATGTTTAAGATACACTGTAATGGACTTTTGAAATGGAGGTTAGATTCTACCGTTCAAAGGTCGCTGATGATTGGAACAAATACAATGTAATTAAAAGAAATTCTGTATATGCGCATATGAATACATTTCTTCATAAATATTGATTTTCTCGTTTGGCAAATTGCATCACAGTGGCCGCATGTTTTAAATTTTCCCGTCCTAACTAAATCCGCGAAAAACTGAATCATATGACTGTTTGAATCCCACTGCAGTTCAGTGTTAGTGGGGATCAAGCATCTGCATCATCCATGAGCAGTGTATGTTGCTTACGTGGGTGAAATACTCTCTTATCTGGAGTGGTGTGGCAGTTGTCATATTAGTGGTAAATATACATAAGAACTTTTAAAATTATAATAAATATATCTTACATACTCATATTAACAATTTATTCGCATTTACTGCCGTACCAGTGTTTTACCATAATGCCCCGTTTTGACGGTGATCTCCGGTTTTGACGAAAACGACTTCCCGTTGATTCTGCGCATGAACCAAATGATCCTGAATACTTTGAAGAGGCTCGTATGTCGTCCACATACCTACAGCATGCGACGCAAACAGGTGAATGCATTGACAATTTCTTTCTATTTTATTTACAATATTATATTCTATATGACAGTTACACTGGCAAACAAGTATTTCGTACTGCAACGTTAACCCCTGTGATTCACTCGAGTCGACCATTTATATTTGGCTCTAGATCAGATCAGGATGAGGTTCTATGACAAGGATAAACAGTTCGCGAAGTACTGCTGTCATATTTATGTGTAGATCTCTGTCTTTAAAGTCACAATTCAAGTACATCTTCAGCCTCCTTTCTGCACAGCAGACAATAGCCCGAGTTTCCTCTGGCCCCGACGTCATGTACACAAGACTTTTTGACAGATAGACTATCTATATAACAAAACTGTGTCTTGAGCAAGGCTAATAAAACTACTATTGTACATAATCACTTTGAATAAATGAGAACCTTGTCAATATATGACTACAACTATTTCTAGTTTCAGGTGAAAACAAAAAGAAAATATTGCATCTGTGTCACAGAATCATGATCATTGTATAATAATAAGTAGGTACTAAACTCACTCATTGTACCCAAAATTGAACACTTGTGGGAAAACTGCACAAGAAATTGTCATTTCATGTATGCAATTTTCACAACATGATACTTTATTTTGTATTTTGTATATATATATATATCAGCTTTATTGGCCGTGATAATGGTTACATAGTTTAAGGTTATAATTAGAAATAATTACGAAACCATAACTTAATTTATATGCCATGCGAACTATGAATGCTAGTTTAAAGAAGAAATTTAATCAGAATTTGCTGTGACTCTTTAATATTCAAACTAAGTTAATTTTCTTCTTATAGCGATCAATTATCCCCCAATATTTGCCAAAATTCCAAAACTTTCTTCTCAGGGTATAGTTTCAGCTGTTCAGGAGCCAAAGTGACCCTAATAGTGTTATACCGGAAATATCAACATGTATAGAAAAAAGTAAAACATTTTTTGAATTGATACTATGGTATTTAACTGAAAACTGTACCATTTTGGGTACACTGACGTTAGGCACAGAAATCATAGGTCTGACAGACTATTATAGCTTTACATGTAGGTAGGTTATCGGAAACTTTATTTTGTTAGGCTCTACTTTGCACAAAAACAGTTGTAGTTGCTAGTGTTCATTTTTTCTAAATACTGCTGAATTTATTTTCCTACAGAAGCCCCAACGTGTACGCGCTGAAAAGAAGAAGTACCGCCAGTACTCCCCGGCAGCTATATCTAACGCCTACAAGGCAGTGAAGAACGGAGAAATCAACGTTAACCAGGCATCCATCAAGTACAAAGTACCGGAGGCCACACTGCGACATCGACTGAGTGGAGCCGTGATTAATCCAGAATGTACGGGCTCCGGACCCCCGCCGCTGATGTCAGAGAGCGAAGAGAAAATATTTGTAGATCACATTTGTATGCTGTCTAAAGTCGGGTTTGAATATATTAGAGCCGAAGTTGTCCGCATCGCTTCACAGTATGCAGTACATCTGGGTGTGAGAGACGACGAGAAACCACTGTCAATGAAATGGTTTTACAAGCTCAAGTCTCGCTGGCCAGACTTACCTACTTTGGGAAAAGTCAGAACTCTGCCCATCCTACAGGCTAAAGCTGCAAGTCCCCAAATCGTGTCATCCTATTACCTGTTATTGGAAGGCATTATGAAGAAGTATAAATTGCATGACAAACCACAGTGTATCTATAGTATTAATGAAAAGTCTCTAATAAATGACAATAATTCAGTACATTCCGGTAACAGTACTAAAGGGGTGGCAGGCCCTGTGGACCTTTCCTCCTCTACTGTCACAATGATTAGTTGCGGGAATGTGAAAGGGACACAAATTCCTCCATACTTTGTGTTTCCTGGAAAACGCATGAAAAAGGAACTTTTGATTGGTTGTTCTGCAGGAACCAATGGGGAGGTGACTGAAACAGGTGATATGGACACACAGCTCTTCCAGAGTTACATTGAGAACCATTTCCTAAAATATGCAGAGGAATGTAGGGCAAGTGGCCAGTATATCTTGATGCTATACGATGGGTTCAGGTCCCATATTTCTCTTTCAGTCATTGAGTGGGCCAAGGTTCACAACATCCTTCTGTTTGTTCTACCATTACACATGTCACACGTTTTACAACCAGAAAATGATTCATGCTTTGGACCATTCTTAGAAATGTATGAATCAGAATGTCAAAAACATTTACAAAGTAACAGTGGTGCAAGCTTGATCACACGTAATAGTATAGGAGAGATGGCATGTAGGGCCTACACTAGTGCACTGTCTCCAGCAAACTTAAAATCAGGATTCAAACGTACAGGAATTTATCCCCTTAACCAGGACATCATGCAGGGGATCGCAAAACAAAACTCATCAGGAAATGGAAAAACAAAGAGAGGAGCTAGTGTTAAGGGAAAAGCAGTTCCTGTTAAGAAAATAAAACTGTCTTTGGCCGTACATGTAGAAGAGCCTGACATTTCAGATCAGGAATCAGAGATTGGGATGTCATCTGAAGAGGAATTATTATCATCCTCTGAAGAGGAAGCTGATTATGATGATACTGACAACAAAATCATCGACGTGAACATACATCATCTCACGGAGGAGACGGAGGAGTGTGTTGTCCCACCACAGGATGTACGTGTACACTGGAGATTAATCCAGATATCTATAGGCTATAAACATCAAATTATGAGAATTGAATTGATATTGAATTGTAGTAAATGTAAATTAAATTCCCACTACTGCTTATTCCACATGTCTGGTTGACTCCCATCATGGCAATAACTCGGTGAATATTAAGCACTTATTAATCCGAAAACAATCATTTGTAGGTCGAGCTAGGTTCTCACGAGAAATATTTTAGATACAGTGTTATCTATATAATCTCTTCATTTCTAATGGAATGATTCTCGGCAGGAGTATCACATGAGGTATGACTTCCCCGTTTAATATTTACTGATTAATTGCCAAGAGGGAGAGGGCTTATTATTTTGTATTGCACCCACACACAAACTTCTAGAATAGCCCTTATGATTACAAAATATTTGCTGCTACATTTTATCTGAACTATAAGAAAATAACTAAGTCCACTGTGCATACTACAGAAAGTGTTGTTGTCTTGATACATAGATTTGTTTCGATGAGATGAATGCGTTTCAGTTTTCTTAACAATTTCTTTACATGTACAGATATCACAAGAACATCCTATGAAGTCTAGTTTATGAACTTCATTCTTCATTTCCCAGTGGCCGTGGTGTGGTTTCATATATCACGGCGTGTATATATTTTCATAGTAAATATAAAAAATGTTCACTAGCTCTGATATAAAATCTACTACCTTCAGGGGTAATTGCTACTAGGATTGTATACCCCTGCATTTCCATAAAGATACTTTAGATGAAAAATAACTTGGACATTTAATGAGAAATGAAAAATTGAGATTATCCTGCCTCATGATCTGCTGTTATTCATTACCAGTATATCTCTTTCATCAGCTGACATGATCAGGGTGTGTCACAGGAAAGCATTGTATCTACATATTGGCAGGGAAATTATATATTTGTATCGCTGTGAATATGTGTTTTTACAGGTGGCACTTGACCTGTTGTCGCCCCATCTGCTAGGTGCGTGTGAGACTGTAGTGAGTACGATGAGTGAACATGACACACCAGTGACCACTAGTGATGAGTATGTCCCTGGTACTCATTCCATGGCCTTCATCACGGTGCCTACCATGGATGTTGCCAAAACCCTCTCGCAGTAAGTTCTGTCTTTGTTTTGATAACACATGTTGTACCATTGACATGTATGTAATCTCCCTTCCAAAAGCGTTCATACATCCATAGTACTTCCTCGAAATCCCAGTGGTTACGTTTACGATTTATGCACCCTGGAATATGTCATGACCAAATCGAAGGTACACAGTTAGTTATACGATTGACTTCACGAGGAAAATAAATCTGACTAATTTCTAGGCTGATATCAGTCCTTTAAAGAGTACACAGGAACAACACTTAATTTGAAATCCGGTCAATTTTACCATTATGCTGCCACATGTTTCTTTTTCAAAGGATTAAACTATTCTACTTGTATCATCCACAAGGTAGTGCATATATAGTCTTCAATTTGGTCAGGACACATTCCAGGGGTGCAGAACAAAAGAAAGAGAGAGTAACTAGGATAAACACAGAAACCTGTAAAATATCTTCTATGAGTGGTAGTTTTGATTTTGTGCAATACTTGAAGGCTCAACTGAAACACAGGAGCAAGGCGCAGACTAACCCCCAACCCCTATATATGCTTATATAGTGTTACTATACAAGCATATAGGGGGTGGGGGTTAGTCTGTGTTTTGACCCTGTGTCAGATGCCAATGGCACAACAAGACTGATGCTTACATATATTGACAAGTCATGTAATTCCGCTCAATTAAATGTTAAAGCTGACTATTTATTAAAGAAGGCAATATTTATATACATGTATAAATCAAAATAAGGTTTGATGTGGAAGGTAGATAACTCTTACATATAGGTCACAGATAGAATAATTAAAGGAGTTGACTTTACATAATTCACAACAGTTATTATTGTGTGACGGTGACAGCTTTTACGTAAATATGTTTTTGATGTGCTCAGGAGATTACTTTACATTTACATACCGTAAATCATAGGTATAATATATAAATATTTATAGGAGATATATGTCGGGTACAATGTGTAAGCATTAACTGAACTGTGAATACATGAAAACATCACTCACATCCAAATGATTTCAGAGATCTTTCAAGGTATAATTGTATACTATACAGTGTCACAGTTACCTGTAATGTCATTCACATTTGTTGCAGTGGACTGGTACAAGAAAAGTTAGCAGCTTGTGTAAATATCATACCATCAGTGACCTCTGTGTAAGTACTGTACATGTATGTTCAACTGATATTTAAATATAGATGTAGAGCTATTACTGATGACAGTACATTTCAAGATCTCTGTACATATTATTAGGAGGGGGGTTAAAGTTCAAAATATACATCTGAACTAAAGTGATGTCAGTGAAGTACATATTTTATCATAAATATATAGCAAGGTTTTAAAGATTATGATTAAAGTGTCAATGCTGTCACAAGAGTATACATCATGATCATTGTCCAACAACAATCCTGGTGGTCATCTACAAGTAACATGACAAAGCTTCAGATGATAATAGGTCATCTACAGGTCATGTCATCAAAACATATGATGGCTTTAACATTTCACTGGTATCTACTGTCTGTCTTTTTATAATCTGTCTAAAGTGAAACCTTAGAAAGTCCAGTTCACTGTATATAAACCAGATGTCTTCATTGAAGAGGGCCATCTTTCTGTACATGCCTATTTTGAGGACAATAAGTGATAAGTTTTGTTTACGTGAGATTCTGTTTTCTACTTTTTAGATATGAATGGGAAGGCAAAGTCAATGAAGACCCGGAACTTTTAATGGTAGTTAGGTTTCTAAAACTGTTTATTAATAGCTAGCATTTGTATACTGGTCTTGAAAAGGAACAATAAATATAATCTAGGTCTGTGTCAACATGTTTTCATGATGTAACTTTAATCAGACAGCACTTTTTTTACAATTTTTGTGAATAAACTTCAACAACATAAGTTGTTATAGCAGATTGTCACAATGTGGTGAATATAATTGAAAACTTGCCGCTTAAAGGAGGTATTTTCACATATGCATACGACCATCATATAATTATTTCTCTAAAATAACTGATGTCTGGTCCCATAATTAAGATTAACACAGAAAGTACATAAATTGATATTATTCAATTATAGCCTTTGGCTGAGGTCGATACCTGGATTAATCGACCTAAGAAAAGATTTATTGACTTCGGACACAGTCCGAGGTCAATAATAATCTTTTCACATATGCATACGACCATCATATAATTATTTCTCTAAAATAACTGATGTCTGGTCCCATAATTAAGATTAACACAGAAAGTACATAAATTGATATTATTCAATTATAGCCTTTGGCTGAGGTCGATACCTGGATTAATCGACCTAAGAAAAGATTTATTGACTTCGGACACAGTCCGAGGTCAATAAATCTTTTCTCGGGTCGATAAATCCAGGTATTAACAGAAGTTAAAGGCTACAATTGTTTTATTGTTTTACATAACAGTAATGTAAGCAATCTGAAAAAAACACACAACAAAAACGCTTCAGAAGCGGGACGGTGCGTTTGGAATCATGTTATAATTCTATCTTTTTTAAAAACCAGTTCTTCAACAAAATTCTCGCGCTCCAAGTCAATATCGGTTTTTATCGGTGGACACGTGATGCACTCCTGGCCAATCACTTGTTGGGAATAATATGAAAAAATAATAAAGAGTGTTATATCCTTTTTCGTACCAATTTATTAGATGTACATGTATTACCTTTAAGCAGGACTAAGATTTTTGCTTTCCTTAGCAATATTTAATGTTTTCAATTAATATAAATATTGGTGATTTAGTCACATTGTCAACTTTTGCATAGCAAAATAATGGTTTTGGTACTTTTTTTTTATCTTACCTGAGTGCTTAATTTTGAATCTGAAATTTTCAGATGGTAAAAACACTTACAGCGAAGGTTGATGATGTCAGCAAGTATATTAGGTCAGTACTGAGTGGTGTATAATGATGATACAAGTATATTAGGTCAGTACTGAGTGGTGTATAATGATGATACAAGGTAAATCTAGGGGTAGAGCCAACGCCGTGACTTTTTATTAAGGTTCCGTTGGTTCTTTATATCCCTTGCCCGGATACCACCCGGTATGCAGGGCGATTGAAAGAATAGGGGAAACTAAGTANTAAAAATCACTTAATTAATACGCCCAGATCTACATTTTTTGTTAATTCATGAGGAAAGTCTTCCATTTATCTCATGATCAGAATCATCAGTAAGGCTTTTATGAGATGGTGTTATTAGTCCTCCACCGTATCCCGGGGGGTTGGGGGGACTATAGGTTTGCACTCCGTCCGTCCAAGAAGTTTGTCCGGGCATATCTTCTCTACTGTTTCACCTGTAGTAACCAGATTAAGTGTACAAGTACATCTTGGGATGGCGAGTGCAAGAAGTAGGTCACTTTGACCTCACTGTGACCTATGCTTTGAACAGTAGTTACATCTTGACATAAGTGTACTGTTTGCTAAATATAGAAATTATTACCGGTGGGGGACTGTGGATTGCCTTGCAATACTTTGCCTTGTTACAAAATGTTATGCACACAACATGTAATAGTAAAATAGTGTTTGAGCTACACATTTTTTTAAATAGTAATTTTTGTGTTTGATGATTATTTTTTCCTTTGTATTAATCAATGAATGTCGAAAAAAGTCAAATATTCAGACATCTCTTATTATTCCTTTTACGATTCTAAAGCATTTAAATCACAATCATGAAAAACATGTCTAAATATATACATTATCAAAGCACCATACCTACAGTATGCATGAATTACAATGTGCATGTACATATCCATATGTAGATAGACATAATACACTGGTTATAAAAGGAAAGTTGGGGTCTGTATAGATAGTAGGGGAAAAGAAATTTAGAAAGTTTGATTTTCTTTTTCAGGGAGAATCATCCGTATGAAGTGGCTGAGGTGATAAGTTCAAAGGTTTGTACATTGTATATAAGTTAAAATTGATAAATGAAATTGGTATTTCAATAAATGAGCACATCATTTCAAGAACATTCAAGTCACGGAGGTTTGGATAAGTTTTTGTTTTTAGTCGTATATAAGAGATATTTATTTATATTCAATATAAAGGTTTTTCTTGAATATTTTCTTGGACAATTTGGAGATAAGGGTAGAGTATGATAATGTGATAATTTTGAATATTTGTTTTACAGATATTTCATTTACAATCTCAAAAATCTGGAAACCAAGGCTAAGCTCACTAGCAATTTGTTTAGTGTCAGAGTAGCATTACATACCAGGTATTTAATAAGAGTTTAATCCTTTAAACTTAGTGTCTGACAGAGTAATATTGAAAGTAAAGGTATGTACTTGGTTCATAAGGAATTAATGAGAGAATTAACTTCGGTCTGTAAACACGTAGATAAGGCAGCTGATAGAAGTAGAATTCTGTGGTAGTCACAGTTTAGCCTCACAATGTTATAAACCTTGTTAGGCTTCGGTAAAATCGAAAATGCAACAACTTTTAACAGATTTCCTTTCTCATCTGTAATGTTTACTTATAAGAACTGTTTTCTAAAAAATGCATTAACAAATTTATGTTTTAGATTGACAATGGTAACCCTCCTTACCTTAAGTGGCTGGGCGAGGCAGTAATGGATCCCCCTGTACATCAGACAGAAACGAAAACTGAAGATCAAGAATAAGCTGGTCGTTTGGAAAGTAATATGAGGTGGTGCTACCTGTGTTACCGTCAGAACTGACAAATGGACAAAATGGCCTTATCATTTTAAAAGTGACTGTATGGTACACTTTCAGTTAAGTGGTTCAAGCATGGGGCCTGGTTTCCAGGATGAGACCTTAGTGTATAAATGTATCAATGTTGAATTGTTTTATTATTGTACAATACTGAAGTACATATTTTAATTTGATCAATGTCTGCAAGGATGTCCATGCCGGAATAGAATTTGTTCAGTCTTTCACAAACTATTGGTATGTACTTCATAGTGGAATGTTGCTCTGTATTACAAAGTATATTCATACATCTAAATAGTAATTAGTAAAGAAATAGTACTCTTGATATTTAAAAGGGCTTAACCATTACCCGTACACCTAACTTTTACACTGGAATGTTCTTATTCATCATTGGGATGGAGTTTATTTTTGCATTAAGTTGGAAATTTCAAAGTAGCAAAGACATTTTCAAAAAGCAAGAAAACTGTAGTCACTGATAAAACCTAAAACCTAAGATTTGAAGGTGTTTTTGCATTCACATTTTAAGAAATTAAGGTACCAAGTATTTGGTATACATGTACATGTAGATATAGACAGGTGATTTCAAAGGTAGTTTTGACTAGTTATGGAGATATTGTAGTTACGGACAAGTGATCTTTGTGCCAGTTTTGACTAGTTCCAAACAGTTGAATTGTAAGGAGGATTCAGCCTAGTTATTATTAGAATCAAGTTAACAATCATAGCCAAGTAGTCTCTAAGGCAGAGTTCACTTGTCTACACTTAGTCACAGATGAACTGAAGAATCCTCAACCCTTTCACCCCTATGTAACATTAGTAGACTCTACCTTGCATGGATCTGAATGAGTCCATTATGGTCTACAGTGGTGAAAGTGTTGAAGAATAACCTACTGTCTCTGTGGTCTGTTGGGACTATAGTATAACTGCTGCTATCTGTCGTGTATTGATCTCATATGGACATTTATTGTAATGTAAAATATGGTGGATCATTTTAAAATTTACCTGAAGTTGTTGAAATGGTTATGTGCATGCTATTTGTTGATCTCAAAACACTCCAATTGAATTCAACATAAGTATTTCTCCATAGTACATGTACATTCATTTGGATGTGCGGGCGATAAAATGTTTGTTATACATGTACAGCCATTTCAAATGTTGTGGTGCACAATTACCTAAATAATAATAAATGATGTAAAAATAAATATTTGTTGTTTACTGCTTACACAACTAATATTCTAAATTTATATCTACTGATCCTATAAATAAGGTAAAGCTGGGTGCTCTGTCCAAGCTTTACAGCTCAGTAGGTATGAAAGTCATCTGATATTTTGAAGTAAAACAGTGGCATGATGGCTCCCTAGGGGTCTAACATGTATGCAATACAGTCTATACAGAATATATAGTTGCTTAAGAGAGAAAAAATCTATATTTAAGAGATAATTTAGGAATACACAAGGGAAATAATCATGACATATTCGAGTATTGTATCCCATTTTTCAATGAAAAAATGCTTTTAAAGAATATTCGTTGTGCTTTTCAATGTAGTATGGTTTAGTTTTGAGAAGTAACCTGTTTGACGGTGTGTTTTGTATACAGAGCCTCATTTTTTTTGTATTTTTTTTTGAAGAACCGCCAACTTCCCACAAACGTAATTTATTGGTATGATGGGGTTTTGGAATATGATGGCCAACAATATTCTTCCAAGGGGAAGGGGAGACAAACCTGTATCCAGCTCATGGACGGCAAACAATGTACTTAAAAAATATCATTCATATGGTGAAACAGCTTCTACATATGAATAATTCTGGCAACGTATCATGAACTTCCTAACGTTATGTGACTTTTCTTCTATTAGATTTTACAGAATGATACGACTAAAGATTTATATATCTAACCAAGCATTCTGATAAGCATGTAATACTCACACATCAACATTTTGTAAGCGGGTTTTGGGCAGGACCATCCTCGATATCCAGGGGCTACTCTCACTGCATTCGCTGTTTCGCGCCGAGACCGTGAGTGAGCGTAACAACTTGAATTTCGAGGATCAGACATGATAAATGATGTAACGGTTGGTATTGCTAGTACAACGAAAGTATTGTAATACTCATATACACTGTACTAGTATATAGACAATTACACATTCGAATTAAGATGGACAGGTTTAATAGACAGATCATAAGACAAATAACACACTGGTTGCATGGATATCACAGTCTAACTCACTCCATGTATTACAGATTGTACCAGATTACATACCCATGTCACCAAACGTCTTTGTTCCGTGGCATCCAATGACATTGACTACAGGGACCTTGATACTTATGGCCATAGGAACCAAAACCTTCAACCTCAAAAGCACTGAAGGACATATTGACATTGGATGGCGATTGTCATTAAGCTTGGACGTCAAATTGAGTTTCAAAACACTGCGTTGCTGTTAAGAATTTTTTATTACACAAAATACGGTAAACTATTTCGAACATTACCTATGGACCTTCTTGCATGGATATGGGTTGGTAGTGAGTAGTGACGATCATTTTGATATGTTTTCTGAGTTGGAGCAAGGTATAATTCGGGAAAATGTGCACGGATTATCTGACTAAGAAATTAAACACGATATTAATCGTAGGACTTTCATGGTAACGATGTTCACACCATCTAGTCACATGAAATTAACAGAACATATGAACTAAATGGTCAAATGAAGTTGACAGCATGCATGGTCACGTGCTATTCATAGAAAATTAATATTGTTCACGTACTTTTTGTAGTACGTAAATATTGTCTGGTCACATGCTTTGCATAAAACATGAATGGTAAAACGATATTGAAAGAACATGGATAGTCACACGGAATATTAACGTAATACTGAGAGCATGTCTGGTCATCCATAACACACGAATAGTCGAACGATATTGACAGAGACTTTGGTTACACAACATTCACTGAACATTTCTAGTCACATATCATTAGCATATTTAAAAGTCTCGCGGTATTGACAGAAAATATCGATTAACGATGTAGCATATAACATACTTGTATCCAAAACCGAACCTTAAATGCAATTGCATAAGGCCTTAAACAGTAGATTTTACCGTGGAACAGACGGAGGCCAGTGTGTGATTGAAAAACATAATAAGGGTTTACATATAGCTCCCTAGCCATGCTATTAAGCATTTAAATTAAGAAAATATTCACTGAATACAGGCAATGCGTGGGTATGTTTACTGGAATTTGCTTCCATGTAATCATGCCACTAAGCTATTCATGACGCCATGAACTGAAACACTTTGACGGCACTTTTGTCTCCCTGAGTGACTACAAGCCTCTCATCTGTAGGGTCATAAGCGATGGCCCGGGGATAGGAGATTTTATCCCTGGCCACAAGGGTCTTCAGTCTTTCCCCGTCTGGTGACACCAACTGGACGCTCTTTGCATGGTTTCGACACACGTACAAGTTTCCCGCTTGGTCGACAGCAATGCCCGCGGCGTGGCTCACCTCCAGACAGGAGTAATTGAAGTAGTACTGCTTTGTTTCCGTTAGCGTGGTAATGGAGCCACGCCGCTCGTCTGTGATGTAGATCATGGTCCCCGACGAGTTTGAGGTGACATAGATAGGCCGAGAGAAGAGCGGACTTCCGAAATCGTCCTGTGATATTGCTGCTATCTCTTTTCCATCTGAACCGATTATCTTGAGCGCAGGCGGAGCGCCGTCATAACAAAGCGTGAAGAATTTGCCTCTGGCGAACGTGATGCCATAGCATCGCTCATCCGTCGAGAAGTAGTCGGACTGTGTTATTTCATCATCTACGACCAGCAACATGATGGCGTATTCCTCCGGAAGTGTAACTGCTATTTCATTACTACTCACCAAGGTCACGTCCCATGGTTTAGACGACAATGGAAATGTGTGCTGGACGCGATAGCTCTTGTTGTAGATCTTCAGTTTCTTGTTCTGTCTGTCCACCAAGGCGAGCTTGCCATCACCTAGAAAGGCTGCACCCGTGTGCCAACACTCTGCATTGTCGTCTTCTTGCTTTCCCTCGAATGTCCTCAGTAACTCGATTCGCCGTCCACGGAGGGAGAGTGTAGACTTGTTCATCTTAAGCTGCTCGACACGGTCAAATGTGACAATGTTTGGGAAGGGCGGCAACTTAGACGGGACGTGTTTGACGCTTATTTTACCGAGTTGTTTGACAGTGCGCCTCAAGTTATCAATGGTGTGGTCCTTCTCGAAGTCGTAATCACAGTCTTGTAGTTTGGTTCTCAGCTTCCCCATGTCTTCCTCATACCAGAAACATTCCTTTCGGATCATCTCTAAAGTGTTCATCAATCTTGAATCGCTACCATGCTCTTCGGCCATCTTCAGTAAGACCTGTGCATTGGATACTGCCTCTTTCATTGATTTGCATTTCTTCACTTCTTTCTGTATCTGCGCTATTTCATCACCGTGTATTAGAGTGAGTTCCTTTTTTGCTGATTTCTCCATGTTATCTAACATATTGATTATTTGGATGCGGATATTAGCAAAGTCTTCTGTCAGACTTTTCTTAGTATCCTCCAACTTCTTGGTGTGGTTGTTTCTGTCTGTCATGGTACGTTCGATATGTTTGATATACTGCTCCAGTGAGTCGGAGAGAAATGCTGGTTCACGTTCGGTTCTGATTTTAATGGCGGCTTCAGCCACTGGTACAACCTTTTCACATTTTCTGTGTTCCTCCGCTACACAATTTGGACAACACAGTTCTCTTTCGAACATGCAATACATATCAAGCGTCTTTCCCGCATGCTTCCTGCACGGTTCCTGGTATTCCTTCAGGAGATCCATCTGTTTCATGTAGTCGGCACGTGTTAGCACTGTATGTTCCATAGATACACGCATTCCTTTGTGGACTTTCGCACAATTGTCACACAGACCGTCCCGGCATTCCTTGCACCAGGAAGTGATTGTTGACTCCTCACCATTTCTACTACATGGGCCACATGATTTGTCTCCCCTTTTCAACTTTTCAATATCAAGCAGATCCAACAGGAACTTGTTCACCGGAAATTCGTTCACCCACTGATTTGGCGGAAGTTTGCTAAAACTGTCATGCGTGATGACCTTATCGCAAAGAGGGCAATTGAACTCTTTTGTCATGGAGGATGTTGCAGATCGATTTGTGACTTCCCCTCTAGAGACAGAACTGAGTATGTGTTTTGACAGGCAGTTATCACAGTAAGAATGAAGACACGTCAGAGTCCTAGGTTTCTTAAACCAGTTCGAGCAAAGTCCACACACGAGGATTTTCTCCCCTGTTTGGGAGGCATTCTTTGCCATCGCTGATCAATTGTTTGCTTTTTTTCTAAGTATTGTCGTTATCTTGAGATTATTCCGTATCTGGGAATAAATAGAAAGCAGTTTAGTGTTATTGTAGTGCTGTATCTGTGCTAATGCTTTGATACAATCAACATGTCACTCATGAGCCATTACGGTGTTATCTACGTCACATTAAGTATTCAGGTATTGACACAATACAACTAACACTATAGACGGAGAACATTTCGTTTTTCTGTTTACATGGACCACCTTTTTGTCATCGGTACTGTTCTGTTAATTGGTTGAAGTGTAGCATTGATGTTTTATTAGAATAACAAACACTGGCTACTAATACACTGTATATGGATACACAGTAACATTGACTGTGTTACACAATCTCTATATCGAACTGTTAGATACCACGGATAGCTTAGGTTCCAGTAGACACTTGTAACTAATAAACTACTGATGCGATAATGACTAATCTTTGTTTAATTATTAACATCATTTCTAACGGTGTATTTTGACGATATTACACCCTCGTTAAACTCAACGAAAACGACAAACAAGTAAGACTTACCTCCCAAAATTTACGAATCCCGATGTTCTTCATCAACTTCTGACAAGACCTAACACGTCACAGTAATATCAGTCGGTCAGTTCTCGAGCGGATCACACACACATAAATATATAAAATGAACGAATATTTCATTAGCAAATATCAAAATCTTTTGTCTAATTTTGAACTAAATATATTAATCCGTGGGAATTTTTACAAAACACTCCCGTCACAGCCTGACCGTTGTCCTAGCGGCGGGACAAACAAATCTAACGCTATAGAAATGGATGTTTGACGGAGGAACAGGCCCTTTCACATGTAAAACCACATGCATACAACACCAAATCGTGTTTTCAATTTACCTAGCGAAATAATTTGGATATGATTTGTTGAATCGCCCTTTACAGATAATAAAACGGTGAGATGAATGGAGTAGGGTAATGATTTACCTTTCAGGCCAAGGAAGGACGCTATTGAAAATGACAGGTATATTTGATGTGAGCATTCATTGTCAGGTGATATAAGCACAGGTAAGTCAATACGTATACATGTGTTAACCAGTGTCGCTGTGCTATGCTTACTACGATTATTGAAAATGATTGATAATAAAATTTATGAGTAGTGGACTCGAGGTAATTCCCGTATTGTAAATATTGCTGTTGTGAGTAGTAGCCCCTTCTGGTGTAAGGATACTGGGAGGGTTATGTGGGAGTTGTTTGTCTTGACTGGATAGATACTATTCATTTACAATATAGATCGAGGACATTTTGGCTGGTAAGATAAAATTAACTATTGTACCGTATCTTGTACTAACTTTCTTCACACTTCCGTGCTTTATTTACCACAATGCTGTGTTCAGACCATGACAAGTCAACGAGGTGTTGGGCTATTCCTGTATAGAATATCTATTACAGAACTTCGTGAGCGCAATTCATGTTTAAGAGATACTGATCGTGCCTGTATTATATATCGTATTGAAAACCATCTCAGTTGTAATTGTTTTAGAATCGCATTAGCGATGGATATTCTATTTATTTGAAAATAAAACAATCAATAAAGAAACTGATGTAATATTGATTTTTTTTTATTGATTACAGTGTTACTTATATGCACGAATATTGAAACGTTAATTACACGTAGGAAACAATAGGTCTAATCCGTTTATCTTGAATATTTTTTGCAATGGTTCCCTGCTCATTGAGAAAGTGCACGCAAAAGAAGCAGATGAAGATCTCAATGGGAATGTGGTCCCCAGGTAAGGTAACTATATAACTTCTGAGCCAATCTAATGTGGTCCCCAGGTAAGGTAACTATATAACTTCTGAGCCAATCTAATGTGGTCCCCAGGTAAGGTAACTATATAACTTCTGAGCCAATCTAATGTGGTCCCCAGGTAAGGTAACTATATAACTTCTGAGCCAATCTAATGTGGTCCCCAGGTAAGGTAACTATATAACTTCTGAGCCAATCTAATGTGGTCCCCAGGTAAGGTAACTATATAACTTCTGAGCCAATCTAATGTGGTCCCCAGGTAAGGTAACTATATAACTTCTGAGCCAATCTAATGTGGTCCCCAGGTAAGGTAACTATATAACTTCTGAGCCAATCTAATGTGGTCCCCAGGTAAGGTAACTATATAACTTCTGAGCCAATCTAATGTGGTCCCCAGGTAAGGTAACTATATAACTTCTGAGCCAATCTAATGTGGTCCCCAGGTAAGGTAACTATATAACTTCTGAGCCAATCTAATGTGGTCCCCAGGTAAGGTAACTATATAACTTCTGAGCCAATCTAATGTGGTCCCCAGGTAAGGTAACTATATAACTTCTGAGCCAATCTAATGTGGTCCCCAGGTAAGGTAACTATATAACTTCTGAGCCAATCTAATGTGGTCCCCAGGTAAGGTAACTATATAACTTCTGAGCCAATCTAATGTGAACAATCTTCATGCATTTACTTCAACAGCACTATAACATGTAACAAATGCCTGTATAAGTAGATTAAGAAGCATACCTACCCAGTCAATTACAAAAGCACTATGTCGCAATCGTCGTCATCACAAATACAGCAACGAAGGCCAACTTATCGCACTGACAACACTGCAACTATAGGTAAGAGAGACAGACTAACCTTATAATATAACAATATAAACAAATCTGAAGTAGCGTTTTTAGAATCGGTGATCACTTTATTCCGAGAGAAGGTTAACAGGCTCTGAATAATCTACACATTTAAGGTTATTTATGATATTTCGGTGACCATGATTGACGACTTGATCCCTATATTCCTAGGTGATTGGTATTTACCTGTACTTTACAGGATTTGACGGGAGACATCTAATGAAATGCCGGATGGGGTGCTGGACACGCCTACCCTACAGGATAACAGGGTTTTGTTCGATATTTTATTATGGTTCATGTTGGCTTTCCTTTTGTTTTGGTGTGTACAATTCCCGTTGTGTTTTTGTCTCGAAGATCTGTTAATGATCTAGTCATTGTTTTTTATAATGTGATATAGTTTTGTCTATCTTACGTCTCATTTATTACTAGGAGATAGTACGTACTGAATTCATTGTTACACTATTGCTGCGGGCATCCAATGGATGTGAAGCACACAATTAGACTGTCTTTTTGCAGTACGTTAGATATTGAAAGTGTGTATAATGTAGGAATTTGGTTTTTTTTAGTTTTTTATTTCCGAATGCAAATCAGCATATAGGTTAATTGATACATAGAATACAAAACATATTTCAAATTTTCAAGGTGGCGGAGGACAATTCCATATAAGCAATTATCACATAAAAAGAATACATAATTTAGCAATATTACTACACGAGGGTTTTTCTTTTGGCGGTAGCATATTTTAAATACAGACCCAATCTACGTAATGTTTTAATACTTTTACATGACAATAATTCAATTAATTTATACACACTGGGGCATCGGAAGTAATATTGCTTAATGTATGTGTTTCTCAATACAGAGTAAGCAGGACAAATAAGAATAAAATGTATCTCATCTTCTAAATCATTTTTGTCACAGGCAAAACATAATCTTTGACCTCTCGGAACCCCATTATAACGTCCAGATTCGATATTAAGGGAATGCGCCTGCATGCGATATTGACTCAACATTTTTTTGGTATTAAATGTTAAAGGCTTTACTAAATANACTAATAAGGATAATTTATCACTGTAAATCACATCAACTCACTAATAAGGACAGTTGATCACTGTCAATCACATAAGCTCACTAATAAGGACAGTTTATCACTGTCAATCACACAAGCTCACTAATAAAGACAGTTTATCACAAAAGTGAAAATAGCATAGTGAAACATTGAAACATCGAATATCAAATTTCAGAACAAATAAGAACACTCGCTTAAAACTAAACAAAATAATAATAATAATATGGTGTGTGATTTTATTCTCCTTATGTATCAACGTGAAGACGTATTTGTAACCTAGATTTGCCTCCCTTTTCATGTATTTTATTTTTGGTTAAAAGAAAACAATTTTCTGCGTAGCGCATTGTCCTTCATATTAATTTTTAGTAAAGGTAAAATTGCAACGTAAATCATATTATTAACAAACAACATTTTTCACCTGTGTTCTGTTTTTTATTGTTGACTTGCTGTGTGAAGACTTCTTTCCCTACAGGTCCATTGTCCTTTCACTTTATTTGATCCAGTTTGATGTTGATAACGCTCCCTTCTTGTCTGTGTCTATAGTAGAAATAGTTAACATTTTATAAAAGTATATATAGTGTGATGTGTACATTTTTTAAATGTTGGAAATCTTTATTTCTTAAAAAAAAAAAAAAAGATGAACGCATTTGTTTTTCTGGAAAACAATCGACCACCTCGAATGAACAATATTAGGTTTGTTCCTTTGGTTTTATGATGCTCCAAGAAAAGGACAACCGACCGTTAGACTCCTAGGCCGAGTGTTTTCTCGTGAATAGTTCATACACAATATTCATAATGGAATAGAAAACACGACAGTAGGTCTGTATTGGTGCCAACAGATGGCTGAAGACTAAACACTGATGAATGTATTTTGAACACTTAATCTCAACCAATTCCTTGCTGATGACATGGCAGAAAGATGGTATTTGTTTCTATTCGAAAGCAATGTTACCAATAAGATCAAATGCAGTTTATTTTACGCGGTCAAATACGCTATTGTTTTATCATACTGTCATGTTATTTATTCAGTCTTATATTTATCTCTTACCACGGTCAGTTGCAATTATAGTGGGTCCTCAAACGTTTTCAGTGTGCTACATCTTACCCTTCTAGGGCTATTTATTTTGGTGAAGGTTTACGATATTTTCCCTATTGTTATTGGTAACCGTTCTCTTGTTATTGTTTTCCCGTATCGACTCTGATTTCGGATTGTTTTATACCCGTGTTTAGGCTGTTGTATTTGGTGACACTAGTGTATATTTTGTCATTTTGGGATAAGTGTTGGTGCTGTGGTATATTTATATCATGGAAAGTTAGAGATATGGAAAGTCTTCCATTCAAACTAAAGCTCTGTTTTTAATATTTAAAACTATAACTGCAGTTAAAATACAACATTACAGCTTCGGACTGAAATTTAAAGAAGGGTTGCCTCCCTTATCATGTATCTAAATATTCAACAACTCTCGGTGTTCTGATTTCAATGTTAACTTAGTCCATCAAAAAAAGGAAGCCTTACATTTTCATGTAACGTCAGAGTACCAAAGATGCATCAGTAACCAAAACATATAACTTCTCAAAGCTTCACAGAAAATGTATTTGCAGTACGTTAGACATAGTAAAAAGTATATATATTCATTCGCATTTTTTTGGATTCGTTTACGTTTCACCTGTGTAAAATCAACTATGATAATTAAATCTCGACTCTTTCTGTCATTAAAATCCTGTTTTGATTTGCTTATTTTTTTACCATCCATATTTACGTTAATGAATAATATTTCAGTGTACAATAATTAAACAGGCCTTTTGTAAACTATAAAATGTACATGTAATATAAATGCAGATTAAAGAAAGATTCAATTTTAGTTATTTTTGTACGCAAAATATTCCCAATTTTTAAGAGTTTTAAACAGAATGCTAGACTGTAATTATTTTTTTACAAACTATTTCTCTACGATCTTTATCTATATAAAAATATATTCATTGTTTAGTATAATTTAAATCTGTGAAACAATGTTATTTTAAATTACCGGATTTCTTTTTATTGCATTTCCAATGTCATCGATTTCCTACATTTCGATAGCCAAAACAAATCGATTATTACACCGTTATTGTGACATTAACT